AATAAACAAACGCAGATAAAATAGGAATGTGAGTGAACATATAACGTAATGACAATTTGTATGGCAGTGGTCACCTTCAAATAATGACCATAAAGCCAAGAATCGAGCTTTTGAGGGCTTGGTGTGGTGAGAAGGGGACCACCCACATACGGTAACATTAAGATATAGAATAGTCGGACGGGGGGGGTGTAAGATGGGGTATAATTAGTGTGTCACGTGGTAATATGAATGGAAGGACTAGAAAATGCGAACCATTGATTCTGACAGTATTAAATAAAGTTATGTAATTTCATCCAGTAAGAAAAATAAACGAGGGCAGTGATTGTTTGTTTTGGTTTAAGTGCAAAGCTACACAATGGGCTATCTGCGCTGTGCCCACTGCAAATATCGAGCCCCGATTTTTTTTTTTAGCCATAAGTCCCAAAATTTACCGCTGAGTTATCAGGGGGCGGTGGTGAGTGTGAAATCGTAACTATTGATTGTTATATAAAGGCACACAAAGGTCTTACTTCGCATGTTCGTCCGTAAGTTTGAACTGATAGACTAGAGAGAAGCATGGGCGGCAAGAGGGAGCACTTGCCCCCCCCTAAAAAAATGAGAAATACAATTCTTTCTTTATTCATTCAGTATATTTACATGAATTTTTCATTTAATTCACAATTTCAACTTACTTTGCCTCTCACTGGAAAAAATTCTGCGGACCCCTATGGACCCCTATGTCTGACTGAATAGTAGGATTTGACTATCACTCTTATAACGCACTTGCGGCCCCTAAGTGCGGTGCGTGTTTATGGGTCAACGGAACGTCAGTAACGAATTTTCGTATTTGATAAACCCTAAGCCTCGCTCGGCCATATACCGAGTTTTTTGAAACATAAGAACAATTCTTCTTCTTTACGTGTTTTGTTACCCCTGAGTCACCGGGGGGGGGGGGGAGGAGCGGTGAGTGAGATATTATTAAACTTCCGAAACGACGATCAGATGAGTGACTTTTACAACAGCTGAACCTAATTATGACGACCTAGATTTCTACGCGTTTTTATTCAGTATTGACTATTTTAAGATGTTTTTAGTGTTCCTTTTCCATGCTTAATTTGTTTGTCGTTAATCGCAAAGATACACAATGAGCTATCTGTGCTCTGCCCACCGCGGATATCGAGACTCGAATTTGAACGTTAATAAGTTCTCAGACTTAGCACTAAGCCACCAGGAGGCGCTCGATTGCAAATTGGAGACAATGACCAGTGGGCAAATAACTAGTCCTTGATTTTTGTTACTCCTGGTGTTCGAAACCTGAAGTTATGCAACGAGTCAGTTTTCCTGTTCTTTTATTACGCAAGCGCACTAATTGTAACGCAGACACCCCCAATTCTTCCCTAGTCACGTGGAGGATGGTAATTAAAACTAGCATTGTCTGTGATGATTTTAACATTTTAACAATAAAAAAAACGTTAGAAACATACTTAATTTCCCATGTCTTTTGTATGTGGACCTCAAACTATAAAACAGGGCGGTTTGGACTTCAGAACTCGCATTGATCACACTCCTTAGTTTTTAGCAATAGATTTCTTGCCAACGTACTATATTTGGTGAAACGAAGATAAAGTTTCAGTTGCATCTGCAATATTTAGGCTTAAGATGTATTGAAAAGTATTCCTATAAACGATGTAGAATTAGTAGAGACATGGGATTTTGGTAATGACGAACAGTTGTCCACTTAGTTTAGTCCACACAGGCTACAAAAACAGATTAGCCCACACAGGGTTTAAATAGAGATTGTATCATGAACCACTGTAGTGGTTCATAATAGGGATCGCAATGAATTGTATAAAACCTTGATAAAACGTTCGAGCAACGAGCACCTTAAACAGTAAAGATTCAGTTCAAACAACACTTTAAAACCTTTACTATATGTTAAACTTACAAGAGAAAGACAATCCGCTCAAAACAACCCTTTTTTAATTCTTCTTCTTATTATTATTCTCTTGCCAGCCTACAACAAAAGAAACTTGGTATATTGCACGCTAACCTTTTGTAGAATACCAAATAAGGTACTGCTAAGGTCGTAGAGGTAATGAAAAGTCGATTTATTTCCTCTATATTTTACATAAGCTAAAAACATCATAATTATACTGTAAACGATGTTATTATTACTTCTTCAAGTTAGCTTTCTCACAAATATTTGGTGTTCCTTTAAAAAGCTTAAGTATAGGGTGAAACAGGAATTACCAGCCAATAATAGATGAATATGACATGTAGGTACTCGATGCTTTGTACACTATACAATCGATGTCTTTAGGGAGCCAACCGCTATATTATGTATGAAGTGAATGGGTAAAAAAGAAATCAATACACATAATATTAAATTTTTTTACACACATTCGTACAATAATCACTTTAAAAGACACGAAGGTTTATTTAAATCGATGTTTTAGACGTACAGTGCCTCGCAAAAGTATTCACCTCCTACCAATAATGTCACATTTTGATGAAATACAGATAATATAAACAATTTATTTAATGAACTTCTTTTTATTCAAAACTCTAATAATCAAACTTAACACTGTTATGTGTAAAGGAGGTTGAATGTCAACAAAATATGCAAAGAAAATATATAAATTGAACTTTGCTGATTACATAAGTATTCAGCCCCCTAAGTCAGTACTTGGTGGAATCACCTTTGGTAGCAGTTACTGCTGTGAGTCATTTTGGATAGGTCTCTACCAGCTTTACACAATGAGATGGTGTAATTTTTGCTCATTCGTCCTGGCAAAATTGCTCCAATTCTAACAAGTTCGTTGAGAACTGTTGATGGACTGCAATCTTCAAGTCTCTCCATAAATTGTCCATTGTATCCAAGTCAGGACTTTGATTGGATTATTCCAGGACATTCACTTTCTTCTTTTGAAACCATTCCAGTGTGACTTTGGCCTTGTGCTTCGGGTCATTGTCCTGCTGAAATATGAATTTTCAACCCAGTTTTAGATTCTTGGCTGACTCAAGCACGTTTTCCTCTAGGATTTGCTTGCACTTTGCACCATCCATCTTCCCCTCAATCATGACAAGCTTCACAGTTCCTGATGATGAGAAGCATCTTCATAGCATGATGCTGCTACCACCATGCTTTACAGTTGGGATGGTGTTGAATGGGTGATGTGCTGTGTTGGGCTTGCGCTAGACGTAACGCTTTGAACTTAGACCAAAAAAGCTCTATTTTTGTATCGTCTGACCATAAGACTTTCTGCTACATGTCTGCACTATCATTTCAGGCTTTGTCGCAAACTCCACATGAGATTTAAGATGATTCTTTTTCAATAATGTTTTCCTTCTGGCCACTCGCTCACAAAGGCCAGCTTTGTGTAGGGGCCGGAATATTGTCGATGCATTGAACACTGACTCTCATATCAGACATGGAACTTTGAAAATCTTTCAAAGTCACTTTTGGCTTCACAGTGGCATCCCTAGCCAGTTTCCAGTTTACTCGGCTGCTTCGTTTGGAAGGGCGGCCTGATCTGGGTAGTGATTGGGTGGTACGAAATACATTCCACTTCTTAATGATGGACTTCACCGTACTCAAAGGGATAATCAGCGACTTTGAAATTTTCTTTAACCTTCTCCTGATCTGTGCTTCTCTACCATTTTATCCCTGACTTGTTTGGAAAGCTCCTTGGACCTCGTGGTTGGTTTGTCGTAGCTTGAACAGATGCATTTACTCTGAAGTCAAGTTAAACCACTCTGATTACACACAGACAGAGACTATAACACTAATTTTGTACCTAAGCTGATTTAGGGTTGCCGTAGCAAAGGGGTTGAATACTTATGTAATTGAGAATATTCTAATTTTCTTTGAAAATCTAACTTACCTACATAATATCAGCGTTTTTTTTTTAGCTTTCTCGGTTTGGAGTATATCGTGTAGATTCTAAATATAAAGTCCCATTTGAACGTTTCATGATTGCAAGCTCAGACCGCAACAAAATGTGGAAACTTTACAGTGGGGGAATACTTTTGTAAGGCACTGTATATGTTTTTTTTGTTGAAAGGTTGCTTTTCTACTGGTAAACATTTTCGCGCTTAATGGGGGTTGTGTCTTAGTCTAAGCATGCATTTGCCCTTTGCTATGTATTATGTATAGATAATTTAGTTACACAGAAACTATAAATGCTCACTATATTCTCATACAAATCTTCGTGACAATCTCCAGCTGCAGCTTAACATTTTACACCTCTAGCTAATGCGATCAAATAGTCAATAGCTACAGTAAATCATCACGAACCGTATCAGCTAGCTACTATGTTTACTATCATTACAATGTATAAAGGTAGCTACCGTATCAAGTAATCCTTTGTCTATAGTTGAGCACAAAAAAAAAAGCCAGCCAACAAGATAAATAATAAATTTGGAATTTAAAAACCTACATATAGGGATCGTAAAAGAAAAGTAAGGAAACAAGGCTGGAGATACATTATTTACCAAAGCTACAAATCTCTATTTTGACTCCACCAAATGTAATTCTAGGTAAGAGCATTGAGTCAGAATAGGAGTTTGAAGTTTGAGTAAATAATGTCTACGGTATCTCCAGCCTTTGTTTTCTTACTGTTTTTACCATCCCTATTTGCAGGCTTTTAAATTCTCAATTTTTTACCTATCTTGTATATATATATATATAACTTAGTATTATCTATAGCAGGGTTTGAAAAAACCATTGACGTAGGTAATAGTTCAATAAAAAATATATGTTAATATTATCTACTCACGATCAGGTTTATAAATAAATTAAGTGTTCCACGTGAATGTACGCCGAAGTTCATACTTGTATGATTTTCTCGCGCGAAAAATAGTTGAAATGTTATGATTTTTAACGGTATAAAGACCGCATAGAAATGTATTGGTGGCTAGATAAAACGTAAAAAAAAAATTAAATATATATATATATATATATAATCCGTATTTGTTTTTGAAGGAAAAAAAAAGACATTAAAAAGACAGAAGAAACCAACCTTCTGAGCCCATCCTAAAGTGGAAAACCCCCTCCACAGGCTGCGTTAAGGGTGAAAAATAGTCGAATCTAACTATAACCATCTCTACAAATCGTAAACTAAAATCTTGCGTAGTAAAAATATCTAAACTTATTCAACTTTAAACAATATGTGAAAAAAAACCCATAAAAAACATATATTAAAATTAGTTAAAATTAGTAAAACATGAAAATTTAAAAATAAAAAGCAAAGCTTAATAGGTATTGTGGTAATAACCCAAAAATAGCATGCAAGCAAGAATAATACGACGGAAAAAAAAATATTAGTTTGTAAGGTAAGAAAGAAACATTATAATAACAAAACCAACACGTCATGTCAACTTAATAGCCTTGCCTTAATGATACTCAAAGTGAAAGATGAAGAATGAAAAAAACATGCTAACTTCTCAATATTTGCTTTTCATCATGCAGCACAAGTATATTGTTATGGAAAGGTCTGAGTGAGAGAGTATAGTTGTGTGTCAGATCTGGACATGCTGCCCGCAGCGTAGTCATTCCGGGGATATAAAGAGGGGGCGATTTGGGTACAAAGAGAGTGCGTTAAACGCACGAGAGGGGGAAGCACAGGTTGGATTTAAAAAGAGTGGGAACAAAAAATGAATTCATTACTCAATCTTCTGTCGGAAGTTTGAACTTCGTTTCCAGTCGTGTCTGCCAGACTGATGAGGTGAAGGGACCAAGAGAAAATAAAAGAAGCATATTAATTAACATTTTTTTTCATTTCTAATAAGGACATTTTTTTTTAATAATGAGTTCTAAGCAACGTCATGGGCAGTTTAATGATTTTCATCCATATTAAAGGAATGCCCACCATTAGGAACCGAAAGAAAACATTTACCTATGTTAAACCAGTAAGTTAACAAAAAAAAAATGAAAATATGCCATTTGTAACACCATCAACTGGATATACCGATATTAACTGAATTACTTCTTGGAATGACAAGTATTATAACCGAAATGGTGTATTCTGAGATAAGCTCGTTAAAGTTTAAGATATGAGCTCAGTTTATAGACAAGACGTTTTTTTATTTCACCTACATTCCATTTTCATGGTTTTTGTTAATACTCTATAGTTACACAATTAACTATTTTAAAAAACACTCCCGTTCGTTATCCTTAACAATGAAAAGAAAAACTCATGTTTCATTTTTCTTTCGAGTGGATACCTAGTGTCCTGAAACAAAAAACAATTAATAATAATAATAATAATAATAAAAATGACCGAGACATCTCCGTATAAAACTTACTTGCCTATCTTTTTATACGTTGGAAATAATTTGATGAAATATTTGTACGTGACACAACTTTTTTTAACTCAAAGTATTATTTTCTTTTTCTCAATCTGTCTCACTTTATAGATTTTGGTTTAAAAAACAAAACATGGAATAAAACACACCTTCGCATATAAATAAAAATATAAAAGTTATAGACTACAAATAAAATACAATAATAATTTTCAACACTACAAAAACCTTTCATTCTTTTGAAAATGGCTGAAAGGCTTAGTGGATACATTTTGACTTATGTAACAGTAAAAAAAAAAGCGGGTAAATCAACAGATTTGGAAATAAGATTATAATGTGGTAAATAGGATAAAACACCAGGCTCTGTGTTTTGTTAATTCAGGAATAAATTATAATAATTATTAAAATAAGAAAGGTACTTCTCAGAAACGGATTGTACGTAAAGGTGAAGATAGGTTGTTCAGTAATAAAACACAACTGAACTAGAATTGTAAGGATTTGTTTGTTTATTATTAAGCCTCAAAATACAGAATGAGCTATCTTTGTTGTACCCATCGCGTGTATCGAAACACGATTTTTAGCGTTACAAGAGCCACCTGGTGGCAAGAGTTCCAAGGAACCAAGTCACTGCAACGCACTTTACATATTAGGTAACTATAGGTGCGTTTGAGAGAAACAAACACAAAAAAAAACAACTTTAAATCGGTGAAACTTCAACCCGTATAGTCTAGAACAGTCACTTTTAACCTCTCCTGGTCCAGGACTCTTTTATAACTATTGATGGACAGTCGAGACCTGGTTGGCTTCTGTTTTTTTTTCCTTGCAAAAATTTCTTTTTCAGTCTTTATGCCGGTGGGACGGCGGTAAGTTTACGGACTTACAACGCTAAAATCCGGGTTTCGATTTCACAGCAGATAGCCCAATGGAGCTTTGCTCTAAAACAAACAAACAATTCTTCTTCATCCCACCTTAATTCCCCATCTAATTTTAGGCTTAGATTAGCCACTATCCAAGGCAGATGAACGGACCTGACCCTAAAGGGCGAGTATGTTCGATGACGGGGATTCGAAACCGCGCCCTAACCACCAGATCTTGTTAGACCTAAATAAATCACCTATTCTTGAGTTGAGAAATACTGGTCTGGAAATAAAATAAGTAGTACCATTTTATTTGGCTAAAGAATGTCCTGCAATTTGTAGTATTTCCTGACTATTTAATACTTCTAACAACGCAAGCCAAAAAACAAACAACAATATCTCTTCCATTATAAAACTGTTTTGAAATTTAATCCGAGGAGGGGGCAGCCGCTAAAAGTTGTGAGGGTGGAACGAGGTATTTCAGGGTACACATACTGACCCGTCCAGGTCAAGTCTCAGGTCAGAGGTTGAGAAAGACGGGAAAGGGTTAGCTCATTTCGATTACACAAAACAGTCCTTACTTTGGCAGTATGCGTATGAGCGTCTCCACTAGAATGAGATCCATCGGCGGATAGCGATTTTTCAGGCATCGAGGAAGCACCTGTGTGTCGCTGTTCTTGTACAGAGGCGAGTCTAAAGACAAAAAAACAAAAACAAGCTAACACTGCTAAGGCTAGTCTGGAAATGAAAGTTTAAAATACTAAGTACAAAACAGCTGTAGAGCGATTTTTAGGGCAGATTACGTCACTGAACATCGAGATGAAGTCACATGAATTAGAAACTAGCTGTTTAGAACTCATAACGTAGATACATTAATACACGAAAAACACACACGGAGTTTTCTCTACTTTTAAATACTTTATTTGCGAGCTTTCGGTTTCTTATCGGAACCTTCATCGGGCAACATTGTATTGAATAATATAAATAATAGTAAGACAGGAGTTTCAGCAATAATATTAATAATACAGGCCATCTGGTGTTAAAGTTCTTAATCTATGAAGAAAATGACAAAAAGACAAGTATTTGAACTTTTACATAAATGTGAGAATCAAAACTTCGGTGTTTGTAACCGTTTTATATTACGAATATTTTAAACACTCTTGTTTAAAAATATTTAAGATATAAGAAAATATAACAATACTGTAATCATAGGTATTAAATATAAAAATTATTAGTTTTGAACTAATACATTATACAATTATTTGTTGTGAGTTAAACACGAAAAGTGGAAATCATTAAAGGTTTAATTTTACGTCAACGCCACGATAAATTATGTTTGTTTTTTGAATTTCGCGCAAAGCTACACGAGGGCTATCTGCGCTAGCCGTCCCTAATTTAGAGGTAAGGCAGCTAGTCTTGGGCTACTCTTTTAACCACATTATAACGCCCCCAGGGCTGAAAGGGCAAAGATGTTTGGTGTGACGGGGATTCGAACCCGCGACCCACAAATTGCGAGTGGAGCGCCCTAACCACCTGGCCATGGATAAATTATGTGTTTGGTAAGAGGCATATTGTGCTTGGACGGCGACGATTCTTCAATTTATGTAAATATTGAAACCTTTTTCTGTTAATTCTGTCATAATTCGTTTTTATTTTTTTTATTTTTTTACAAACACTGACAACTTTAATACCAATTGTGTCAAGTATTTATTTCTTCATTTATTTTATTCGCCAAAACGCAGGTGTCAGTGAAGAAATGATTATGTCCAAAAAACATAAAATATTTCAGTTTATTACTGGTGAGTAGAGGGCAATACATTTACATCAAACTAAAAGATGATAAACATCGTTATGATTGTCGCTTAGACACCTATCTTTAAAAAAAAAAAAGGCCCGGCATGGCCAGGTGGTTAGGGCGCTCGACTCGCAATCTAAGAATCGCGGGTTCGAATCCCCGTCACACCAAACATGCTCGCCCTTTCAGCCGTTGGGGCGTTATAATGTGACGGTCAATCCCATTGGTAAAATAGTAGCCCAAGAGATGGCGGTGGGTGGTGATGACTAGCTGCCTTCCCTCTAGTCTTACACTGCTAAATTAGGGACGGCTAGCGCAGATAGCTCTTGTGTAGCTTTGCGCGAAATTTATAACAAACAAACTAATTTTAATCATCAAAACATCTTCAACATACGGGTTTTCGGTTGTTTAAACCGTTTCGGGTTTTCGGTTTCTTACCTTTTGAGAGTTACTAACGTTCCCGTAAGTTTCTTGCACCTTCTAAAAGCATTCTCCAATCGTTCAGGTTCGTCAGTAAGGAACCTGCGGGAAAGAAGTACTCCTGTATCAATCGATTTTTTTTTTGTCAACATAACTTAGAGTAAAAATAAAATAGTCCAGGTACAAGAAGAAAAAATCTGGTTCAAGAAGACATAAATAACTACTGACAAGTTGAAGAACCCCCCCTGCGCTAGACTCTAATCTTAGATTGAGTTTTACTAAGCCTAATTATAACAAAAAGAAAGAATCTGGTTCAAGAAGACATAAATAACTACTGACAAGTTGAAGAACCTCCCTGCGCTAGACTCTAATATTAGATTGAGTTTTACTAAGCCTAATTATAACAAAAAGAAAGAATCTGGTTCAAGAAGACATAAATAACTACTGACAAGTTGGAGAACCTCCCTGCGCTAGACTCTAAATTTAGATTGAGTTTTATTAAGCCTAATTATAACAAAAAGAAAGAATATGGTTCAAGAAGACATAAATAACTACTGACAAGTTGGAGAATCTCCCTTCGCGGATTCAGCGTACAAGAATTACAGTAGGACATGTAAAAATGTCAAGACAATAAAACCATCGCAGGCCTGTGTTATTATTAATTAATTATATTATATTCACCAGGTGGAAAATTTTTCTAACAACTATTAGAAATTTGGTAACATTTAATTATGAACGTTTCGGAATGTACAATAAAACGTGCGACAGAAGTATGTTTAACAATATTAAGAAAAAATTAAATAATTTCAAAATAATAATAATAACACGATCACCCTATCCTTCTCGAAAACTTTAAAATTATACTCCCGAATAACTGAATACAATTAAATAATGTATTTCAAACTTTCATTGATCATCTAACACTAAACAGTATCACCAACTCGTCCCTGTTGTCATTAATCTAATTAGTTCCAGATTTCCAGTGTTTTATTTTTATCATTTAAATATATAACCAGGTGGATAAGGCGCTCGACTCACAATCTGAGGGTCGCGGGTTCGAATCCGCATTCCACCAAACATGCTCGCCCTTT